GAAAAAAATTTTGTTCAAGATATTTATTAAAACTCTTTAGGTAATACAAATATCTATTTATATATAATAGTAAAACATCAGTATATAGTTTGATTAATTTTAGATTTCCCAATAATTTTTGTATAATATCAGTTATATTTCTGATACTCTTATTTAGGTTCTTGAAAAATGCAAAAATCTCAACCATTATCTTTGGTAGCTGATTTGTGCTTTTTTATAGAAGCTCTCAAAATATATAATAAATATAGATTATATATGGAAGTAAGATACTAATGCTTAGTAGGAAAAAAAGAGTTTTTAAAATAAACTACTGAATTACTTTTTTAGAAGATGTGAAGGAAGGAGAGATGAATCAATTCCATTAAAAAATGAGAAGAAGTTGGAAGTAGAAGTATATATATTTATACCGGTAGGCCAATTCACAAATAATTTTCTTTAATTCTTATTATTTAAGAACAATACAGTAAAGACCATTATTTATACATATCATTTTTTATATCTTAAAAGTCAAGCCAAAAAAAAGATAAAGAAACCAATGTCATTCAAATATTCATCTATTCAATAAAGCTGAAAGGAACTTATCCAATGATTAGAGATAGGTGATTATATTTTTAAAAAATTAAGTATAATATTTTGTAACCTTTACTATGAATAGGTAAACTATTTCTGAAGATAGTTAATGACTTGTATGAAAATCTGTTTTATATTCACTTGTACTCAAAACCCAATGACTTATAGTAGACCTCAGGTTCTTATGGAGCTGAGAAAATGTATTCAGGACATGTGAAATTACCAATAGAAGCCTGTTTGCATTCTTTTATTGATATGTATTCTTCTGTTCAATCATTGTGTAAGAAATTTTATACTACTCAAAATTCAAGATCAAACTGAGATAGATAAATTTTTTTTAGAAAAAACCAAGAATAAGTAATATTAAAGCTACTACCATAATAAGAAAGTAGGTAATTGTATTCTAAAGAGTTTCTCATTATAAAAATAATCCTGTAATATTTCTCTATTAAATGAGAAGACCAAAACATTTCAGTTCTTCTTCTTTTTAGAACTTTTTTATCATTGATAAGAAGTGTGTTTCATAACTTGGGACAATAAAAGTTGTGTTTTTATTTGAAGAAGAATGTTTATAAGAGAAAGAAGAAGTATGATGGTGACTCTCGAGCTTTTTCTCAAGTTGGTTTAAGGAGAGTGTTAAGGTATTTCTTAGTATAGAAGTATAATAATTTTTTGTAAATATTTTTTTTGTATATAGTTAGAGAATTAGTAGAAAGAGTTGAATAAATAAAATTAATATTAAAATATAATAGATATAAATTTTATAATTTTTAATTTATAATTAAAGATTTAAAAATTATTAAAGTTGAAATTTATATTAAAAATATAATAAGTAAACTCAAACTTCTGGAAGCAATTATATATTATTCTATAATATTCTATTAAAACTTTATACTATAATAATTTATATTTTTTTTTATTAAAGAGATATATTATATTATTAAAACTTTAAACAATAAGAAAAAAATTTTTTGTATAAAATTTTTTTTAAAAAATATGATATATATAGCATAAAATTTTTTATTAAGTATTTAATATTATTTAAAATAAATTTTAATGGTAATAAATTATAAGTTAATTTTATTTATTTATTGTATTTTAAAATAAAAAATATCAATAAAAAATTAAAAAATTGAATATTTGTTTTATATATAATAACTTTAAAAATTATTTAATATATAAAAAATATTTTTATTATAATTTAAATTTAAATCTTTTTAAATAATAAACAAATAAAAAAAAATATTTTATCCCACAATTATATTATTATAATTTGTTTTTATTAAGATATTAGAAAATATCTACAACTTTATATGTACTATTTATATAATAATTAACTCATTTTTATATATTATTAGTTAAAGAACTATATTACTTAAAAATATAAGAAGTTCATTAAACTAGTTCATATTAAACAAAACAAAGTTTAAATTAGGTACTTTAAATTAGATTTTGAAAACAATATTATACTTCCTTAATAGATTGGTTATATCTTCTATTCATTAGGATTATTATCTACAATTTGTCACTATAAATTATTCTTAAAAATAATAAATTGCTAAATTATATACTAGAAAAGGGAAAAAAAAAAAGAAACAATTCAAAGCTTCTCAAAAGATTTTTATTTAAGTAAATAGTCTCCTTTTAAAAAGAATCTATCTGATTGAAATATTATCTGAACTTTAGATAATTTGAAGAATTTAACTATTTCTAAGTAGAAAGATTTCAAGAAAAATGTTTAAGGAACTTATTCTTTTATTGATATATGGATTTATTTATTGTAAGACTAGTGCCAATATCATATTATAATAATATTAGCCTAATCAGAATAAAAAAGTTTTTATAAAAACTTTGTTTAACTGGAATAACCGCTTGGAGATCTTAACTTTCTTTTTGAAAAAGCTTTCTCACTACTTGCAAAACTTGATTAAGAGATAAAAACATTTTTCTTGGAAATTTATTCAGTTAAAAAATACTTTTTTTGTAGACTTTTTTTTTCAATTATCAATAACATAATCAAGATATATAATTGTAACCAATAGAAGCTTATTTATATTTTAAAAACTAATATGTTTTGTGTTAACTAATTATCTTTGATAAGAATTTATACTACTCAAAATTTCGGATTAAGTTAAAGTATAAAAAATTTCTTAAAAAATTGTTAAAGTAGGAGCTCTAAGAGGAATAAAATAGTTTAAAAAAAAGAAAATAAGCTTTTTAACTATAATAAGACCTCTATAAATATCTCACTTCAAAGGTTAGAAGGATTTTTAGATACTTTATAATTAGGTTTTCTTTCTTTAAAAACTTTTTTATTATTGGTAACAAAGATATTACTTGATTTTTCTTGGCATAAAAAGTCAAGTTTTTGAGTAAAGGAGTTTGTAAACAAGAGGAGAAGTGTAAAAGTGACTCTTAGAGTCATACTTCAAATTGTTTTAATGAAAGTGTTAAGACTTTATTAGCAAAAAAATATATAAACTTCTTGTGAACATCTTTTTTATATGTAGTTAGAAAATTAATGAAAGAAATAATAAATAAAATATTTTATTATTGAATTATAAATATAATTTAATAATTATATAAAATTTTTAATTGTTATTTTAATATTTAAAAAATAAAATTAAACTAAAGTTAACATAATAAATCTTTTAATTAATAAAAAATTTGATATATATATATATTAAATAAATTTTAATAAATATATGTTCTTATGTAAATTTCAAAAATTGGACCTTTAAATTATATAGTTAAAATATTATTAATAAAATAATTCAGAAATTTAAAATTTTTAATTAAAATATTTCATTATATAAAATTTATTGGCTTTTGCATTGATCAATATTCAAGTTGACGAAAATTATATTCAAACTATATGTTTTTTTAATAAAATTCCACAATCCTATTATAGGCAGTCAAATTAATCTTTGAAAGTATATACCGCTCGTTAAGCATCGATCTTTGTGCAGGCACCTAGAAATGATATAAAATAATAATTAAAAAAATAGTCAAAGTTTAGAACATGGTTAATTGAATATACCAATCGAATTTGCTAAATTAAAGGGCTTAATTCTTAAACCAAATCGATGGTCACGTAATGTTATATTGTTAATTTCTAGCATTTTCAATCTCACGTACGTTTTTGTATTTAAGAATCATCAGTTTGATTTTTATTCGCTGTTCATCAAATATGCAAAAATATGCAAAAATGAAAGTGCGTTATTTTTGGGCAAATGTTTTTCATACAAAGGAAGTATTCTGTACGTGCGCCGTGTGTCATTCGACGTGTTGAGAAATGTTTGTGTAATGAAATTTTCCCAGGATGTACGATTCTTTCTTTTCTTTCATAATTGATTTTCCAAAACAAAAGGACAATGACCGCAAATTAAAATTTTTCATTTTTCTCCCGTCCATGAGAATTAAACGCAGATCGTTGATCTTACCTATTATTTGCTGATAATAGAGGGCCACGAATGCCATGCACATATGACAGAAGGAAAAGTTTCCATTTCAGTAAAATTTATTGTTCGAAGATATACACATCTTTAAATTATTAAGATCTAATTATTTTAAGGCTAACTCACAATTTCGGACCCTAAACCAAAACGTTTCATGTGTGTGTTTCATATTTTGAAAATATCCCAACTGGCAGTTACGTGATTATATTAATTATGAGGTAAGCATATGTATGTAATCCTAATATAATCGAGCACGTACCTAGCACACTTAATCATAGGTATATTATCACACAAATGTTCATAGTTCATCAATCTTCAAATAAGAATAATAATAATCGGTTTATTTTTTTCGGTGTATATATATTTTATGGAAACTTACATTCCTTTCGGCGCGAGTGTCTGACCTTATGAATATTATGTAATGTTTTGTATCTTATGACCTCTCGTTACTCGTAACATACGAATTAAGCATTCGAAGATTTAGGTAATCCTTCTGTAATAAATTATATTGTAAAGACTTTAATTTTGGATGCGGGATTTTTTTACATATGCCTAACCGAAATCCTACATACCATATTAATGTTTAATTTAAACTTCTAACATTAATCCAACATTTTTTCAGTTACGGCTAATGTTTTTATTCCATGCATTCTTACGCCATCTCCCTAATTCAAAATTATAATATCTAAATGATTACTGTATATACATGATACCGTGTTCTCATGTGATTATAGAGAATATATGAGTGACAACTTAACATCCACTTATAAAGATGTAATTATCGGATTTGCTTTCCGGCCAATCCTTGATGACGTTGCACGACAAGTTGAGAACATAATTAACACTTCCTTTTAAAGTAACTACTATTTGCCTTTGATAACTTCCAAAACCTGTTGTTAAAAAATGATTGTATGCGCGTATCAGGCACAGGTCAGTGCCCACTAAAATATGTAACATGAATATAAATAATGAATGTCATTTTCCGCTCTTGAGATGAAAAATGACAAATTTTTCCTTGAGAAAATTTCAGATTATAGATTCTCTCTGTCAATCTCTTTAAAAATGAAAGGTATTCCATATGATAAAGGAAGTGGGGACGGTACTACAGTTGGATCTCTAAATGTGCCCAAAGAAAGAAACAAGGATGGAGTTAAAAAAAAAAGTGGTGGAGTTAAAAAAAAAAGTGGATCAGTACCTCTGACGCCACGACAAGTCAATCTTTATGAAGCTTTTAACTGGTCCGAATTTTGGAAAAAAAAAAGAGAACCACCTCCCCTCCAGGTTCCCAAGAATGGAAAGGTACCACGTTGCATAAATGCGTTTATGTTGATGAAGACATATGTGAGAAAGGATGCGCATGAATTTGCGAGTCTAGAGAAAAAGTTTGACGGCGTCGATATAAGCGTGGTTAGCGGAAAAGCCTGGAGTAATAGCACTGAAAAAGACCGCGAAATCTTTGATAATATGGCCAAGGAATTAAAACAGCAGTATAAAAAGGCATATCCTGACCAACAATATCATGCGCACAGATTACCTAAGTGGAACAATGTCTCCCAAGACAGTTATTCTGAGGCGGTCTCTAAAAAACAAAGTGCTAAGGATGAGAATAAATCAAAGAATTCATTTCTTGTTTCTAATATCGATAATCCAATGAACGACAATAATATTTTCGGCTCGTACAATCCAAATGATCCCAATGAATTCTTCCCTGCAGTTCAGTTTTTGAACGATGAAGATTCCTTAACACAAAACGACCTTCTATCTGGCTACCAAACCAATATGTGTGATGGTAAAAATTGTTATTGTGGAAATTGTTTTCCATTTATTTATTATTAAAAAATAAATCCACAAACGCGTGCAAATATTTGTAAGATTAAGAAAAATATGTACAAGTTCTTGAATATAAATTTATAAAAATAAGTGTTATTTGGACGTTAAGCCATGAGAATGTTAAATCGTTTGTCCGGTCCAAGGTTAGCAGTTCCGATTAAGATTGGGCCGGACCTAAGAATTACTGTACAATCTAATAATACACATGTTCAATTGCCATTCGATATTATTAAAGTAAATAAAATTTTTATGACAATATACAAAATTATAATTTGATTAATTGATTTTTTTTTTTTTTTAACCCGCGATCATGTCATCTGGATTTGATTAATAATTGATTGATTACTTAATTAAAAATTTTATGAAATTTATTAAAAAATTACAAAATTAATTGGTTAAATTATTTATTATTTTCCTCTTCCTTCTCTTCCTCCTTTTTCATTTGCTTTTCTTTTTCCTTTAAAAATCTTGACTTTATTTTTCTAAAACTAGATCCAATTGATTTTGCTGTATCAAATGTTTTTTAAGATTTTTTGCTTTTTTCTTCTAACCTAACTACTCTCAAATTTTATCTATTTGTGCACTTTTCTCAGTTTATTCTTTATCCTCTGAATATATTAATAATTCCTTATATTTAATAATTTTTTATCTTTTTAATTTAACTGTTGATTTTTTATCTTTTTTTGTTTCCTTTTCTTGTTCATGTTCTAAAATCTCTTCTAAACTATATATCCAATTTGGTAAGCCTTATAATGGCATCATGTCATAGAAATATGAATTATTACAATATTATTTATAAGTCAGCTAAATTGATTTCAAATATTCATTCAAATATTTCAACAAATTCTTTAACTATAGGTAATTATAATGAATATTATAATTATTCAGCATAAAATATCAACTATAATTATATATATTTATTCTTTTTTAATGGATTTTTCAAATTAGTCATACTTTCTTCAGGTGAATATACCTTTGTTTCTTTAATTACATCAGTTAATTCATTTCAATATTTGACAACTTTCTTTAATCTTCATTTAATAAATAACTATATGCATTTAATTCTTCATGCCCTTTTTTTAATTATTCATTAAAAATTAATATCTAAAGGTAATATAAATGTAGAATATTATTAATATTACTTTATTTAATCAACTATTTGAATGTAAGTAACGATTGTTTACTTCTAGTTTTTCAAGTTTTGTTTTCTAATATTTTCCACTTCAATGATAATATAAAATACTTAATCATTCATTTATTTATTTTTATAAAGAATTAAAACATAGAATTATAGATTTTTTTTTTTTTTAAAGTCCAACTGATGGGACGAAACTTTATTAGTATTCAATAGGATTAGATTACATGAGCAATTCGTATAACCTTAAGACTACTTATCCTAACTAAATCTGCCAATTTTACCACATATAGTGATATCATTTTTACTAGTTGTCCTGCTCTGTCCGGGACTCTAATATTCCGAAGATCTGCTATGGACTTTCATTTTGTATGTTCCTTTCTAGTAAGTTTGTATTCCGCTTGATGATTATGGGTATTATGGACAATCTTTACTATGTTTGGGTTCTCTGCAGGTTTAGTTGAAAGTTAGATAGTCCAGTTTTTCAATCATATTCTTGATATTCAGATGATTCAATGATGTTATATCATTAGGTGGCATATAGCCTTCCATTGCCTTATTTTTAACCACTCTTACAAATTGGCCTTGCAGGGTATTCCTTGATTACTTCGTAGCAGATTGCTCCTTCCATTGGATTGGTTATCTTGGAGATTGTTTTCGAATTTCTTCTCCTAGGGTCTGCCCCTGCAGGTTTTTCAACGTGACACTAATGCTAATTACCAGCCTCTGCAATAGCTGTTCTCTTTGATAGCCATTGGTTTTATGATCCATTGAGGTCTCCCATTAATTGTGTTATAGTCCATTATATTTTTGACAGATACAAATAACTGAAGTTTCGCTTATCTCCCATAGGTAAAGATGTGTCCCTAAAGGGGTAGGTAGGAAATAAGTCAAATGTCTCTCACTAGGAAAAACTAAAATTTTTAAATTAATAACTATAAAAAAACTACTCACAATTGTTCTCAATTATCTAAATCATTGATTTATAGTATTTCCTGACTTTTGTCCCTATTAAAATGAAGAGCTATGAATTTTGTCTATCAAAAAAAGATATAAGTGATTTGTGAAATTTTATATGCTAAATACTTTAGAGATCCATTATTACCCATAGGGTATAGTTTTGACAAGAGGTGGATATCCTTCTTATTTATATTAAGAAGCTTGAACTGATCAGCATTTTTTCCTGGCTTGTCTTGAATCCTTATATATTCCAGGTGTCAGATTTTTATTAGAGAGTTCTTTAGCACTAAAACTGGCTAAGGCTTGGATGACCTGAGTTTTTACACTGTGGTCGGATGGTGGAAATCTATAGGTTCTTTTATGAGTACAAGGGTGTATGTGATAATAAGCATGTATCTTGTATCATGTAACCTATTTGCGATAATTGTTTCTAGGTGGGATTGAATTAGTAACTCACAGATGGTGACCTGAGAGTGCACCCACTGCACTATTGACCCACAAGTCTCTAGAATTATAGATTTTATTAATTTGAGTATCAACTTTTGTAATATTTTTTTATTCATATCAATCGAAAAAACTTCATCTATCCTCAGTTTATATTCATCAGAAATAGTTTTAATTAAGACCTTTATTTATGTTCTCACTTTTTCTAGTTTCAGCTTATCCTTAATAACTAGTTTTATTAGTTTTGTCTTTTTATTACTTCTCCCAAGTTGAATTCTTTAGTGCTTTCTTAAACTTAGCAAACTTTCAGATTTTAATATATCAGTTGCTTTAGATTCTACAACAATTATAGTATCAAGTTCAGGTTTCATATATTTGAGTTGATCAATTTCTTTTTTAAATCTTCTATTTTATTTTTTGCTATTCTGATTCTTCAGAAAACTTGTTGTTAATATATTACACTAGGTCCAATTATTTTATAAATCAGTATTTCTCTTTCTAGTTTTTTGACCCATATATGTAATTATTTATTTTTTAAATAAATCATTTGATTAATAAAAATAAATTTTAATAATTTGATAATAATTTAATTCTAAACTTTTTTGATATTCTTATTGATTTGAGTTTTGGATAGCAATTCAACTTTTTTCATTAATATTTGCACAACTTTAGATATCAATATTTCAGGCAATACAATAGATGGTCTTCTTATAAGCAATTTAGTTATTATAGTAGTGGTTTAAGATTCAGTATTAGGTATTACATAACAAACTATTGCCACTTTTAATGCAATTGATACAAAATAAGTTTATGATAACAGGGAAGGTTGTGAAGATTATGAAAGTAAAGGTAACTGTTGTCTATAAAAAGCATATTTAATTGACTTTTTTCATTTAACATTTTAGATATCAGAAAAAAAATATTAAATTAAAGAAATATTTAAATAAAACTATTCATATTAATTTAATATAATTCAAGATTGTATACAATATTATACTATTATTCACTATATTATATTACAATTCAGAATTATATATTATATTATACTATATATTATTCATTATATTATATTTGTTTTGTTTTTTTTTAAACACAATTGGTATTAGATACAAGCTTTTTATTAATAATTAATTTAATGTCTGAATAATGAAATCCTCAGCATGATATTAATTATCTCATACAAATTATATATTTTTATATATATATAGATTAATAATAATCTATCATAGTCCATAGAAAATTCACTATCAAGATATGGAATCTGGAACTTTCAACTATAGACAAACTATATATTTATAAACCTGATATCTACAAATTCACTATATACTTTACTTGTTCAAAAATAAAAGATAACATTTACCTCTTCAGATGTAAACATCACAAAATTCACATTAATTAAATAATACTCAATACTATATACTCAGAAACTACTATCCAAACTAAAAAAAAAAGTCCATACTTCTGTAAAAAAAAGATCAAAGACCACCTTGAAATTAACGACCTCTGGGATATTTTTATCAGAGAATGCATTAATAAAAAAGTAATCCAGACAATTAGCTAATTAATTTCATCTGACCAAATAGCAGAAGTCACTTATAACATCATTTATTGAATTAGATTCATCACTTTAAATATATAGATAGATAGATATCTCTGCATTTAAATGTGGGAGAAAATCATGAGAATAATTAAGACTCAGAAGAAAAAAAAGTATAAACCCAAAAATCACATAGCACAGAAAGATGTACACATTATAATACTACATATAACAACAATGGAAGAAATCATAATAGGCACTCTAAACATCCTTGACATTTTCATTAAACATATTGAAGGTGTCTAGGTATATTAGTCCCTCTAATCAAGTACAACAAGCCATAAGGGGTTGTAAAATCGAACCTCATTGCCAATAACAATGTGTGTTCATTATCCATTGATTTTATTGTTTTGCTTAACATCAAAAATAGTTTATACAATTATTCTATAAATAAATATAAATGTATTGTATACAATTAATAAAATAGGTGGGTTAAGTGTTTTAAAAAATAATCATAATAATAATCTATCACAGTTTGTTCTAGATAGACCTACTATTACTCCTTAAGTGGACAAACCTAACTAGAAGCTGGATAGTTAATATATAGTTATCAATAGCAAAGCTAGGCTAATTAGTATTAAGCTTACAAAATTTTTATTGTTTCACTAAGTTGGTTCTTTTTTATATATACCTGATAGATATATAACATTTTCCAATATTCTTAGATATTATTTACTCAAACCTCGGAAAAATGCACATTGCCTTCTTTGTCATCACCTGTAACATAAAATTGGTTCCTATTAACTGATTTTCAATTAAATGAAATACCAGATTGAAATATTCTGAGTTAGAAAATCAGAGGTCTTGAAGACTACCAAGGTAGAAGATTATGGAATATCTATGGTAGGTTAGACCAAAAACCTTTCTTTATACAATTTTTCTTGTATTATGATCATAAATCTCAACTTTTA